AGTAGAAGAAATTTTTCATTCAATAATTAAGGGAAAATTCTACATGCATATGCTTATGAGGGAAGCTCATTTACGTCAGCATTTTATGATGTTAGTGGAGCTGAAGAAACTGTAAGTCAGAGAGTTTGTGCCCTAACAAGAGAGATAGAGGAGGTGAAAAAGATTCAAAATGAGATGTAGGTGGAGCTGCGATTAGATCGAGATGAAAATTAGAAGAAGAGAGAGCAAGAGCCGACACCTGAATCACAGGGCAGTTAGGACACGGATGATGATTATTTTAATATTGTTATTTGTTTGAAGAACTTTTTAGTGTATTTAGAACATCTGCATTGTTGATTGTGTGGATTTCATATATTATGATTAGTGTGGATTTCATTTATTATGTTGATTGTCAAACATATTGATTGTGTTTTGTTATTTCATATGAAATGTTCTGTTGATTTTGGATTCTTTTTCTGTGACTTGTATATTGTGGTTATGCCCTTAAAGTTCCTGTTTTATATATGTGTATGTAGATTCTGTTTAATTTTTTGACTCTATTGTTGTTTTATACAAAATAAATAGAAATATTTCATTTTTGTGCAGGTATTGTGAAAATTGGTGTAAATAGGGGGGGGGGGGGGGGCCACTTTAAGGGGGGGGGGGGGTGTCAACTTTTTTTTTACTAATGCTACAGGTTTCCGGCGGCTAACCAACATTTTAGCAGTTGGAAACTTCGATACCGGACGGCTTATTTAGCCACCGATTATTGCATTGTTTTCAATGACCGGTACATCGCCATTAATTAACCGACGATAGACGGCGGTTTGACCGCCGGAATTTACCGATTGTTAAGCCGCCGAAAAGTTTGACCGTCAGAAAAAGGTCGTCGGAATTCCTTTCCTATGATGTTTATTCTAACGGTTTTTGAAACGCCAGCTGACTGCCGAAAATTTTCAAAACTGCTAGAAAACTTACTTTAACCGCTGGAAAAGGTCATCGGTAATTGATGATTTTCATGTATTGTATATCTCTTTGGGATAGAACATAGCACCATACATTTCAGTTTCCCGTATGGAGAACACGAATCCCATCAATGTACCGATCAAGAAAGTTCACAAATAAAATAGGGGCATGAGAACCGACATATAAAGACTACATGTTACATGGCAGTAGAATGAAGGAACCAACACTTGACTAGTGCTGATTCTAATCATAATATATTTTTTTTTTCAATTGACCACTTAATATCATCATACAAATTACAATAATAATTTTAATAACATTAAAAAAAGAATGATTTTAAGTAACATAATAACAATGTTTAAATTAAGTGAAAATAATGATTCTCCTCCTAAAAAAAAAAATCCACCATACATACTAATACATAAAAGTTTGTTGATATGTAAGTTTCAGTCCGATTTTCTCCCGATTTTTTTTTGTCAATTTCACCAACCTTGTGAACGTAATTTCCGTGATTTAAGCAGATAATGGATTAAGAAAATCATTAAGAAAAATAATCATGATTAAAAGCTATTTTAATAATATAATTAAATATAATCGCGACACTTTGTCTTCTTGTCTGTTGTGGCCCTTTCAACTCGTTTTGCTTCGAATGTGGCTTCCAATAAGCGACGTGCAATGGAGAGCGACTTCCACACCTTCCATCACCGTCCGTGATGCGAGCGGATACCTCAGCGCGTGCAAAGATAATGAAAAATAAAAAATGAATGACATAATTTATTAATTTTTTTTTTTATTCACGGCGCGTACGCATAAATTATTCTTTTCTAGTTTATAAATATTATGGTGCGGGATGTCGCAGGTGTTCAGGTGAAAGTTTAGTTTGATTCAAATGCTGAGGTCAATAGCTCTATTTTTTTAATTCCAATATTAGTCAAAGAAAGAAAAAACTGACAATATGAATGAAGAAAAAATTATTATGTGCGTTCATCGGATGATCCAGAGATTAATCAGAACGTATTACGTTCTAGTCTCCGGATTATCCGATATCCTCACAGAATAATTTCTCCACTATGAGGTCTAGAAAATTTAATTTAATTTTATATTTGTTTAATTGTTTTTTTAATTTGGAAAATATAAAGCAACATCTTTTTTTTTTAAATAAAAAAGGATTTTATGTAGTGAGAACATATTGATTTAAATTTAAATTTAAATTTGATTGATTTAAGAATTATTAAGTAAATTTAAAATGAATGCAATAGTTAAATAATTATTTAAAATTTATGATAAATATTATCTTAATTAAATTTAAATAAAAATATTATGATAAATTCTTTTATAATAATTCAATCCTTACATCACCGCTTTAGATGTCAAAGATAATATCACAATTGATGATCTCATTAGTGGGTTCTCAAAATTTAATTTTTTTTTTCCATTCACTAATTTAAGGAATCAAATAATAGCATGACATCATGAAATTATATTTCTAAATTTTTATTTCATTGTGTACTTGGATTGATTTAATTGTTTGTGTCTTTTAAGTAAATTTTTAAAAAAGAGATGTATATGCATAACATTTAAAATTACCACTTTTCCATATTAACACCTAAATTTTTATCTACTTACGTTTCACTCAATTCTTTTATGTAATGTTAAAATATCACTTTTCTAAATTTTATTGTAAGCATTCCGTTAATGATGCCTTATCGCGTAACGATTACCTCTCATCTTCTTTGTTGGTGAGCGTTCACATGCTTCGCCATCAATCTTGTTAATAGCCTTCCAGAGAGATCTCATTGTAACTTCCCTTGTTTTTTTATCGTTGAGGATTTCGAGACAATAGAAGTTGCAAGTCCTGTTGATGACATTCCACCATTTGATCTTATTGTGACTTGCACTTTGCATACACATGCCACCACATGCAGTTGTCTAGTCGATAGCCTTTGGCAAGATCTCACTGTGAGATTGCACACGAGTTTCTCTTTCATCACGTATGTAATAGGGGTTACCAAAGTGGTAAATGCAAATAGTAAGATTTATGTGTTAAATACATAAATAAGAAGGTTTTGAGAGTTATGTATGTAAATTCAACTAAAAAAACTTAATGTTCCTTAAGTACTCTCAATGGGTCGCTGTGGACTTTAGTTAAGCTTAGTCAGTGAGCGAGTGACTTGTTGAATCTCTTGGATGAATTCAACTTAACGGCTCACTACTTACTTTAGGCGAGATTAATTAGTAATCATAGACGATAGCAGTGGACAAGGCCAGGGTGATCTATTTGTTAACTTGATATATAAGGGTCAAAATCTCATGATATCAACTTAAGGACCAATTGAGTTGTAATTCATTATATTTGAGATTTAATGTTAAATTAAGATATAATGGCAACACCACCATCATTTGGAAAGCCGAATAGGGCATTTATAGGGAACATTTTATTTATAATAAGAATAATGTAGATTGTGGCTTATTTGAGTGGAGCATATACTAAGACTAAGGGCCTTCAGTTTTTTTTTTTTTTTTTTTTTCTTACTCAATCATAAGTTTTCTAACCTTGGAGAACTTTTTTTGTCCATAATATTAAAGCTTCCTCATAGAAAAAATGTTTTAGTACCCTATTGACGAAGGCATCCATATGTGGTTATATTTTGCTTTCACTTGAAAAGATGGATATAAGCAACTTATTTGCAAACTTTTAGCTTATTAAAGATGATCTTTTTACCTTCTTGATCACTAAATTATGAGCGTATAATCCTTCTACCTCTTCACTTGGTTGGTTAGAATATCATTATTCATTTTTTTAGATTTCTAATGCGATAGAGGATTGGTTGAAATAGACCACAATCTTGAATATTAGGGGAATTGATAAGGTGGAGATTTTATAAGCATTTATTTGATAGATATATATGGGATAATACATGAGGCATGTGTTTGAATTTTTTCTTTTTTTTTTTTAGTTTGAATTCTTTTTGTTTTGATCTATGTATATTTTATCCATTATCATGAAGAGGGAGCTTTCGTTATGAACGAGCGGTTAAGCATAATGGGATATATTTATAAAATTAATTAAAAATTATCATTATAAATAGCTATTTAACTACTAACGATTAATTATTCTATGCGGACACCGGACACTGTCCGAAGGAAAATCAGAACACGCCACTTCACCCCCTTGCTGTGTGCCGTGGTTGTGTACCTGTTATGTACCGGGTGATGCTGTGTGCTCTAAGTTCAACAAGCAAATTTAACATAAAAATGTCTTACAAAGATTACCAAAAGAGAATATCTATCTTAAATTTTAATGAATACCCCTCATTCGAGGTATTTTAGCCCTTTCATAATATTTGTAGAAATAAAAAAAATACAAATTTTAGTCTAAATATGGATATAAAGTCAAAATTGAATTTATGATGACTCTCACTAAATATATTACCTTTTTATAACTCTTATAAAAGGAAAATCATTAAAACTATTTAAATGACATACTAAACATATTCGGAAAAAAAATCAAAAATTCTTTTCACTTAAATTCTTGAAAAATATTAGGTCTCCATAACCTAGTTGTCATTTAATTTTCGCTAAAATTAATGTCATATTTGATGTCTAAAGGCTCCATTAATATTACATAAATCCAAATACAATCAAGTCCATCATAATATCCCGGTGCAATTTTTTTTCTAAATTCTTTTATAATATAAATTAAAAAAATTATTTATCTCATTATCTAAACTCTTAATCTAGATGTTATATTTGCAAGTTTAGTAAATGCAATTACCCCATCATTTTAGGCTTCGTTTGGGACGACTTTTTAACTGCTTTCTAAAACGGAGTTTTAGTATAAAATTTTTTATTTTTGTACTAAAACTCCGTTTTAGAAAGCAATAAAAAAATCGTCCCAAACGAAGCCTTAATGTTTCATATAATTTAATATTCCTTTATTTTTACATGTAAATTACTTTGAGTTATTGAAAAACAAATTACAGATAAATTTATACGAAAATGTAGAAGGAAGGTTAGATTCCAATCTTTCCGACTAAGAATACGGGAACTGTTAGGTGGAGTCAGCGTTCACCTGTGAAATCACTCCCGTTAGGACAATTGGCAGGAAAATATTAGGCTCCCCGCGAAGGACAGATCTCCCATTTGTTTCCAAAATAAAAACCTTAAGGGAGTTTTAAGCCGCCATTGTGGTTTCTTACACAGCACATAATCCCCCTTTCTTCTTCCTCTGATTCTCACTAATTAGGTAAGATTTCAATCTCTCATAACAATATCTTTCCCTCTCACCTTCAGTTTACTTCCAATTGAATCATGCTCGCTTTTGCTTCATTACTTGGAAAGTCTACTTCCTTTCTTACTCCGAGGATTTTCATGAAGAAAGGAAAGAGAGCAGTTTCTTATTAAGAGGCCTTGGGGTAGATTAAGAGGAGGTGAATTCATCGCAGGAAAAGAGATGGGTACTGGAAAAACATCTTCTTTTGATGCCCATCTAAACTTTCTTGATAAAAAGGCAGTTGATGGAAATATATACAGAAAGATTGGGGTTTTTATCAGTTCTTGTTTGTTTTTTCTTGTGAATTCGGTGTTGCTCTTTTTTAGATTCATGGCTGGGCATCTTTTCAGGTAGGTTCTGTTTGTCAGATAGTTTCAGACATCTACTATTAACTTTTATTCTAATTCTGTTTTGCTTCTCTTTTTCTATGTTACAGAATCAAGAACAGTGATGCCTCTCACAGAGATGATTTTAGCTTCTTGGAATCAAGAGAATTGAAGCAAGTCAAGCAGTTTGATCAGAAAGGTGAATTCTTTGTGGATGAGAAGGATGAGAAAAGGATGCCAGCCTTCAGTTTCAAGTACCAAAGTCAGAATTTTGAGGACAAATTTGGAAAATTTGAAGAGGAAGAACAGGTTGATGAAGTAGGAACTATTGCGATTTCAGAGAAAGAAGATCAACCATATTTGAATGCTGCCGATATTCACAATTATCGATTCTTATCGGAGGATAATTTCAGCGGCTTCGTGGAAGAGCCAGAGACCATGACTCTTCGTGTTCATGAATCCTTCATCGGCTTCGAAGAAGAAAGTTTTGAAGGAGTGGACACGGATATGAGATTCTTATCTGTAGAAGATTTTCTGAAGCCCCCTATGGGGTCTACCTTTGAAGAAGAGAGCAATTTTGACGATAATAAAATTTTGGATTCAGTATATAAGCAAGAGAAAACAGAAGATTTTATAGACTTTAAAAATATGATTTTGGATGAGGAGAAAACCAATTCCTTCAGTTCCGAAACCAATTCAATTGGGGGCAGAGAGATCAGATTAATCTCCGAGGATTTCCCTGGCTTTGATTTTGATTCTGATACTGAGTCATCAAGTGATGGCTACTCTGTGAAGGAGCTTATATACGATTCAGATATAGTTGGATTATTATCAGAGAAGGATTTTGATGAGAAAGAGCATGATTCAGAAAATAGAGAAATTTCAGTGAATTCTATCGATAAGCATGAACAATTGCAGCATGAATCTTTCTTTTTGGAAAGAAGTGATGAGGACGATGATGATGATGATGATCACGATCACCTTCATGATCATAATTATGATCATGATCATCTGAGTGACGAAGAAGAGGTCGATGAAGACATCATTGCAGAGAAGCTTCCTCTTCTTGTTAAAGAAGAAATCAATTCATCCAAATCTCATGCAGAAAATAAATTAATTGGAAAAACAGAAACCGAATTAGAATTGAATGGGGGTGAAAATCTTTTGATTGAATTTGCAAAACCAAGTGATGCTTCCTCGCCCGCTGCAAATTCTTTGCAAATAGAATTCATTGAAGATTCCAGCGATGAAGAGCTTTCTTCTGTAAAGAATGGTAGCGCAAGGTTAGATAGCTTTGGAGAAGTTCACTTTGTTAAAGATTTAGTTGACTCAGAACCAAAAGCTCAGGCTTTTGACAAAGAAGCGGGGGGCAAGAATGGAGATGATACATCAAATTTTGATTTGATAAATTCTGCAAAAGTTTCAGCAGAGACAGAGCAGAATAGCAAGGAATTAAATGTAGCGAAAAAGAAAACAGAAAAATCTAAACCTTTTAATTTCGATTCTGAAGAGTTGGATGAGCTCTGGGAACACCAAGATCTTATCGAACAACTTAAGATGGAACTTAAGAAAGTTAGAGCTGTTGGGCTTCCTACAATCTTGGAGGAATCCGAAAGTCCAAGAACAATCGATGATTTGAAACCATTTCGGATTGACGAGAAGTTCTTGCGTGAGGATCCACTGGATGAGCTCCAGAAGTTCTATAAAAGCTATCGAGAGAGAATGAGGAAATTTGATATTTTGAATTATCAGAAGATGTATGCAATGGGTAAGTACTCTCTCTTATACAGCATTGCAAACTAGTTTTATTTTTCATTTTAGGACTCACTGAGATTGTTTCTACTTTCTAAGCCTAAAAACATGTTCTGAAATTTATAAAAAATTTCTACATTATAAAATTTGATTGGATGGAAAAAAATTTGGTTAGATGGCAAAAAAAATGAAAATATTCCTTATCCATCCTGATCATTGCAAGGACCAGGTGCTGGGTCCTCTAGCAAGATCCAATTATTAAAATAATAATAAAGCACCAAAATACATTTATCCAACTAGCTTGTCTGAAATAGATGATAATCACAAAAAAAAAGAAGGTAATTGAATCCTCTCACGTTTTTCTTTTTCTAAAATCAAATTCACCTAAAAAAAAGGATTTTTAATTTTCAGCTCTTTCATTCAACTGTTGCAGGCTTTCTCCAATTGAAGAATCCTCTTCATTCATTGGGGACCCAAAGGCATTCATTCTCAACAATCATGTCTCATCTATCTCAAAACGTCTTTACTTTCTGCCAAAAGAAATCTGAAGATGATCCATCAGAAAAGTTATTTAAGGATCTGCAATGTGATTTAGAAACAGTTTATGTTGGCCAGACTTGTCTCTCATGGGAATTCCTGAGATGGCAATACGAAAAATCTCGTGAACTACCGGAATCTGATCCACTCAGAAGACACCAATACAATCAAGTTGCAGATGAATTCCAACAATTTCAAGTTTTAGTTCAACGATTTACAGAAAATGAGCCATTTCAAGGACCAAGACTTCCAAATTATGTCAAACAGCGATGTGTTCTTCGCAATCTTCTTCAAGTACCAGTCATGAAAGGTGAGTTCTTTTACTGTAAAATCTGTATTCCTCTTTGATAAATGCATTTGCATATCATAAAGTTAAATATTTTTAAATTTTTTATGTTGCAGAGGATTCCTTCAAGGATAATGTTGAGAAGAAGGAATTTGATTATGTTGTCACCAGTGAATTGTTGGAGGATATTATGGAAGAAACAATCAGAATTTTTTGGGAGTTTGTAAAGGCTGAAAAACATGAAACACCTATATTAATCAGGGTTCTAGCTGAGAGTAATGTGGAGGTCCAAGATCCATCTGATTATGAGTTCATGGAAGAAATTCAATCAAATTTGCAGAAGGTAAATTGTGTGATTATATTCTAATATTACTAATATCATTACATGAATCAACCATTAGAAATGGTCATATTGATTTTCAGTTCTTATCTAATTAAAGTTTTTTTTTTTTTTTTGCTTGAAATACAGAAAGAGAAGAAGCTGAAGGACCTTCTGAGGACTGGTAATTGCTTAGTTAAGAAATTCAAGAAACCACAGGAAGACAGATCGAACCAAGACCTCTTCTTCTCTCAGGTAGATTTAAAATTGGTGTCAAGAGTTCTGAAAATGCCAAGAATAACAGGTGATCAGCTAATTTGGTGCCATAAAAAGCTAAGCAAGATTACCTTTCTTGAAAGAAAAGTGCACAGGGAACCTTCATTTTTGTTATTTCCTTGTTAGAACAGAAGCAGGAATAGAGCCTGCAAAGGCCTAGTATTTTTTTTTTCTTCTTAAATTTATCATCTTTGCTTGTATATATGATAGAAATAAATTCTACAGTGATATGCGTTAGAGCATGGAGATTTTCAGGAATAAATTTCATATTATTTCTGTAGCAACCTGTTAGTTGCTAATTAGCTATTGTTACAGGTTGGTTAAGTATAGCTAACTATTTGATGTAGGAACATCTTTAGTTATATAGTCCTTAGGATTATTTTATCTTAGTTGTTACCACTAGTCTCTAGAATACTCCTTTTACCCTATAAATATACAAGCTATTGCAAAGAGAGGGATCATTGAATGATATATACACCTTTTGAAGCTTGAAAAGCTTTCTTCTTCTTCTTCCCTGGATTGGGAATTTTCAAATCCTTCTTGCAGGTATCGACTTCCGACGATCCACTACATCACTATTGGTGCTTATTCGTTGATTAACTATACAATATTGCTAACTATAATACTTAGCTGCAACTAATCATAAATTAAATCTGAATAATAAGATGCTAATTTTTTTGTCGATATTTTTTAATAACATTTTATGAAGTTATTTGGAAATTGAGAGAGGAAGAAGAATGAGTCGCATTTAGGAACATGAAGTAGTCGATTTATGAGGATGTCAAAACTCAAAAAGCTTTTATTTAAGTAACTATCATCATTACAAGAATTTTGAGCTATTGTTATTCTTTATAAAATAAAATGAGTAAAAATCATATTTTTAAGAAAATATAAGTAAAAATATTTCAGTTAGATTTTAAAATTTATTATTTATAATGGCATTTTCAAGAATGTGACTACTGATTATGTAGCTGAAAGTATTTATAATTACAAGCTAATGGGAGTAAATTAATTACTGCAATGCAACCCTATATATGGCTCTTCTTCCTCCTTTCCTCATCTTTTATTCTTGTAAATGACACACATTGGTCGAGGGGTCAGTGTCATTGCATGGCATTCTCTAGTCATCACCGTCGACGATGATCACCTACTATTGACACTGACAACCACCATTGTCAGAATCGACCGGCATCATAAATCAACACCTTCTCCATAATAATGATAAGATTTAACCCTGCTATTGGATATATTTGTCCACCTATGAACATCGGCTTTCTATAATTCATATTGGAAAAATCAAATCTTGTTATTGGATGTCAACGTCTGTCCCTCTCTGTCGCAATCAACACCAACATTCTCTATTCTATCATAAACCTCAAATAGAACTCCTAGATTAAGTCATTATGTTATATAAACACATTCTTTGGCTTTCTAGAGAGGCACTCTCCTTATAACACAATATTTTACAAGTAAATATTTTTCACATAAAAATTTTGATGTTATATGTTCTTTTTGCATTTATTGATTCTATATTGAGATTCATTAAAAGCTAAGTAAAATAAACTCTTTCTCTATCCCCAAAAATAAAAAATTTATTTTGGAGGCAATATTAATTACTTATTTAATCACAAAAATTTTTACTTAATGTTCAAGCACAAGATCAAATAGAAAAAAAAAAAAACTACGATCAAATCTTTCTCTCGTTTTGGAGATGTAAACAAATTATTCAATATCAAGAACTCAATCATAAGTAGTCTAGGGGTTCGTTTGGAACAATTTTTTTACTGCTTTCTATAATAATTTTTTAGTACAATAATATCTTGAAAATAGTTAAAAAATATTAATCGAAAGCTGTCCCAGATGAAACCTAAATGTTTAGTTAGACATGATTTGATTATTAATGTAATAAATTTAGCAGTCCAACTCTAGATATTGTAACCATCTTGTATGTGTATGTGTATGTGTATGTGTATGTGTAAAGAAGGTTCCGTATCCAACTATACAACAAGGTACATAAACTTTAAGCTGAAGAATACGTAAGAAAGACATCTCTTCTATTAGAGAATTTCCAATAGAAAAGTTAATAATGGTGACATTGGGAGCATGCAAGTTTGGACAAAGCGCTTTAAAAATTGTCCAACCTTATTATATTGGTCATTAATATTGAAAAATTATTATAACTTAAAATTTTATGATATTTTGAAGAATTATTTATAAAAACATAAAAAAATATTTATAAGGGTGCAAAATTAATTTATTTATACATAATCGTTTTTCATAGACTTATTTGTTAGTGTTAGAGAAGTTCAACATAATTGGATGAAAATAGCGGGAGGCCAAGAGGCTTTTTTATTTTTGGAGGGGCAAATTGCGTGAAATTAAGGACAGCTAGGGGTAAAAAATAAAAATCAAAAGGGGTCATATTATATAAAAAAACCTTACTTCCATTTTTTCGCCTGGTTGTTTTTGGTTGGTTTGATTTTTTTCTTGGCCCTTGCTTTGGTGCTATGGAGAATTCTGTTAAACATTTAGATCTTGGCTTTCTTAATTGTAAGAATCGCTCCAAATCTTTCAAGGAGGTTTTGTCTGGCTCTGATGCGTCTAAGGCATTTCTGGATTTACAAGTCACTACGATTCGGGGTTTGCCGGCTTTATGGATCTCAGAGGATGAAGTTCTTCATCTTGTTAAGCCTTTTGATTTAGCTTTAGTGAGAAAATTTTCGTTGCGGCGGCTGGTATTAGACTCAATTAGGAGGTTTTCTTTTTCAACCTCAAATTATCGGGTGAGTTATCTGTTACTCTTTTGGATCAGAGTAATGTCTTAATCAAGATTTCTAATGATCTCGACTACAATAGGATTTTTTCGCATATATCATATTTCATTTTTGGTTGTTTTATGAAAGTGATAAAATGGACACCATTCCTTGACCTATCGGAGGAGTCTCTGATCGTCCCTGACTGAATTTCCTTTCTGGAGCTTCGCCCACACCTATTTTCTCCTCGTATTCTTTTTGGTCTGGGGTCATTATTTGGCCGTCCGCTTCATACAGACAATGCCACTGTTGTGGGTTTGTGGCCATTCGTAGCTCGTATCCTTGTGGAAATGGACATTTCTAAAACTTATCCTGGCTCAATTTGGCTTGGTCCTGAGAAATTAGGCTACATTCAAAAAGTTGTTTTAGAAGGTCATTCAAAAAGTTGTTTTAGAAGGTTTTCCTAGTTACTGTCCTCATTGCAAAGTTGTGGGTCATAAGAGGTCTGAATGTGTTAAGTTGTTTCCTCATTTGAGGAAGGTTAATGCTTATGTTCAGCCTCCTATGGGTTTTGGACCTTCTCCTGTTGTGGGCACTACTTCTTTGGCTCTAAATGATCCCTCTCTTCCTGCGAATTTCTTTCCCCCTACCACTGTTGCTTTCGCCCCTATCGTTGTGGACCTGGCTCCAGAGTGTGTGTTTTTCGATGTGTGTGTTCGGGAGGGGGCTTTTGTTTCTACTACCCCTAATATATGTAGGGTGGAGAATGCTAATGTTGCTAATGTTAATTCTATGGTTTTGAGTCCCATTGATGTTGTAGTTGGGAGTGTTGCTGATTGTTTGGAGGTTAATGCTATGACATTGGATTCTGATTTAGCTTTTGGTGATTTTGTTCTTGTGGCGAAGGAGCCTGCTTCTCTTGTTGCTCTTTTGGATCTGCCTGATATTGCTTGTTGTGATGGAGTGAATGAAAATTTGAGTGTTAATAATTGTTGTCTTAATCTTATAGCTAGCCATTCCTGTGATAATGCTGTGGAAGATTTGGGTGATTTTTCGGGTGAGGTGGCTTCCAGGGTTGGTTTTACCTCTGGTGAGGATCTCCCAGGTTCTCCAACCCAGGCGTTGGTTGTTTATGATGGCTCTATTCCTTTGGAGCATGTGGCATGCGATGTTGAAAGTTCGGCTATTAATTAGGTTTTAGTTTTACCTATTAATGTTGAGTCGAACGTGTCTCCTTTTGTGAATGTCTCAAAGGGGAATATGGAGTATGTTGATATTCCAATTTCGATTATGTCTAATGCATATTTGAAATCCCATCTATCCCGGCCTTTGAATAACTCTGTTTTGCTTCATTCTGATTGGCTGGATATAGATGAGTCCCTATCTACACCTTCCATGGGGGAGGGTGATGATTTTGATGACCATGTAAATGATGATAAGTATAGTTTCATGGTGGGGTGCGTTTTTGATCAAGCTGTTCTCAATGATAGAGGCAAAAAGATGGAACAGTAAATCTAAGAAGAAATAGGCTTTGAATTTTTTTCTCGCTTTCGATGTTGTGGTCTTTATTGATGTTTTGGACAAGGATGAGGTGCCCCCCTGCTTTTCTCCCTTTAGGCCTGGGCTTGTTGGCAACCTTGGTGGTGTGCCATTTTGCTTGGTGGTTGCATGTGTGGGATGTTTATGAGTGGTTGTTATGAATGGGTGGTCCGTGTCTGGCTGTGGGATGGTTGCAGGGGGCTACTACCTTGAGTCCCCTGTTGATTGTTGACTCATTTTATTGCATCTTTCTCTGTCTGTTTTATCTAGGCGGCTTTATTTTCCTGTCTTTTGATGTATTTCGGTGTCTACTATTTTTGGGTCGTTGTTGTACTCCTTTCTTTGTTGGAATAAAATTTATTTTTCCTTAAAAAAAAAAACACAAGACAACTATTATCATATCATCTTGACAATTTTTTGTCAATTATTCTTAGTGTAGGGTAAACAAATTATTACGTGCAGAGTCTGAACGCCTTTCAGACGTCAATCACGTGAATACATGTGAATCTTTTTTCTCTCTCTTATACATAGAGTGTGTAGAAGAGAGAGAAAATCCACGTATATTCACGTGATTGAAGTCGGAATGAAAAATTGCGTCCGAACTCACACGCAAAAATTTTTCTTATTTATGAGAGTCAACGGTTTGATTTGGTGGTAATGCAATCCTATATCAAATAAAAAATTGGGCAAAAAGAATTGAATTATACTTAGGAAAGAGACATTTTATCAGATGGGATGATCCTTATCAGTGCTTACATATTCAATCCACTAAAATTTGGATCTTATCTAAGGATTCATAAGAGAAAATTACATCAGTATGTTTTCATAATTTTATTATTGCTAAATTTATTACTTTTAAAATAATTATCATACTAGCAAAATTCATCATATATGATTCAAAATTTTTCCTTGATTCATATAAATTAATGGGCTGGATTTTAGAATCTTCTAGACATCCACTGATGCATAGCTAAACAAAGAGAAATAATTTTGATTGCACATGAAACAATGAAATGGAAAATGAATAATGAAGAACCTTAGCTTGAGAGAAGAGCCATAAAAAATATATTGAATAGTTCCATGATTTCATAACCAAATCTACAATTAAAAAGATTTAAACTTCATTTGGAATAATTTTCTTATTGTTAATTATTAAAAAAATCGTGAAAACAATGACTAAAAGCTGTCACAAGGTTTTGTTTGGGATAACTTTCTTATTGATTTTCAAAGCAGTTTTTTAGTACAAAAATTTTTAGACTAATAAGTTAGCAAGTGCTGTGATACCACAAAGCTTCTTCCAAACCCAAATAGCATTAGCTTTTATGGGAGTAATAGAAGATTGGACTTAATCACAATGCTTAGCATTCATGAAATTAGCTCATAAACTCTTATTAAATCTCAAAAGCCACTAAAGTTTTCAATGAAAAACTTTGAACAAATTCTTGGGGATTCCAAACCCCAAGCCACCTCCCTCAAAAATACTCAAAAGTAAAGTTAATCCCCATGGTAAATTCAGCTTCTACTCATCTGAAATATTAAGTGGAAGATTAAAGGGAAACCCCGTGTTCCTCACATTACCCCACTGATTATTACCAAGCAGGATATTATTCAGAGATTTCTTCACCATCATATCTTCTTCTTCTGTTCCCAAGTTGCCTCTCATCTCTAATGGATAATTGTCTGCATAACCATTATAAGGCTCTTGTTGTCCAAAGTCTATACTACAACAAGATGGTATTAATGTTCCCAGTGATGAAAACACAGAACTTGTGGGCATTTCAGCTTTGTTGTTGATCAAATTGAAGGACCTGAAGCCATAAACATCTAAAGGAGAATGAGATTCATTACAATGTGAACTGTTCATTGCATTCACAAGAGAGAATTCTGAATCTGCAGAGTCTGTTAATGGAGACGCCCAGGACTGTGAGGCTGCTCTATTGGCTACTACGTTAATATTCTTCTTGAATATCCTGCAGATGGCCCACGAGTCCTGCACTTGGAAGAAAATCTAATCAATGAAAACTACTAGTAGTGTAAGATGGTATTTATAGGGGACTTTACATTGGTTAGAATGTTCTTATCAAAAGGTCTTGGGACATTTGGAGAAGGAAGTCTGAACTCATGCATCATCCAATCAGTTTTAGTTCCTTTTGCAGCCCTTCCCTTGTAGAAGACAAGAGATTTCTTCAAACCAATACATTTTATACCTTCAGAAGAGTAGATGGGTCTGTCTGTACCAGTAGCTTTCCAGAATCCGGCCCTGGTGACTCTATTTGGCCTGCTACTGTTTCTATATTTACGATCTCTTGGGCAGTAGAAGTACCATTGATTCTCCCCAGTTGCTGCAAGCTCTAATTGGAAGATAAGAACAGAAATAGCATCATTTATGTGATTATGATAGTGATAATTTATCTTCATTGAAACACATACTAATTATACTTTGGTTATTTATGATTTTAACTTTAATGGTGGCTTTTCCAAGTTTTTTTTCCTTCAATTGTATAGTTTTTAAAGCTTTTTCACATTTTTATTATGGAAATTGAGATGGGCATAATTGTTCGGTTTTTTCTTTTTATTTCTGGATGCGGCTGTTTCTCTTATGGTTGATTGTGATGTTGGGGTTTAGCGTTGCAGTTGTAGCAATTTTTTTGGTGGGCTATGATGTGGCTTTTTATTTACCACCTGGGCTTCCGTGGTTTGTTGGCAATCATTGGTGGGAATTTTTTTTGTTCTTTTGGTGGCTTTATTTCGGGGTTTTTTTTTTTTACTTTGAAAGTTGAAAATAAACAACTTGACAACTTAGGTTTTGTTTGGAACGGCTTTCTTACTGTTTTTAAAGCATCTTTTCATTACAAAATTTTTAATTTTTATACTAAAGAGCTGCTTTAAGAAGCAGTAAGGAAGACATCCCAAACAAAGCCTTAATTAGCCCAAAAAATCAGGCAAAAAGAAGATATTAGTTTATATTCTAAAATGAAAAAAAAAATCATTGCTTTTTAAAAAAATAATCTAAGAAATGAACGATTGATGCTTACTTGGAAGGTCCCATGGATCATATTTGTATATATTCAGTTGCCTGATTAACTCAATAGAAATTGGCTTCTGCTGTATCTTTCTCCTCAGGTAAAACTCCACCAACTCTTCATCTGTTGGATGAAAACGAAAACCAGGCAGCATTATCTCTTCTTCCTCATCCATGTCATGCTTCTCCTCCATGACTTCTTCGCTTAGGTTGTTCTCCCAAGAAAATAAGCAAACAAGCTTAATGAGCTAATTAACTAGAAAAGACTGGAATGAGGAAACTCTTAACAGATTGACTGTAGAACTGGTTTCTATTTTGCCCCTATTAAGGAACTTCTCCTGCTTAATGCACTTCTAAGCATGTTTATGCTGCTTAAGACCATGGCCATATATTTATAAACTCTTAAATCCTTGCCATCAAGACTTAATTTTTTTTTTTAAAGTCCATAAGGGTGATCTCAAAAAGACTTCAAATTTAGCTTCATATGGGGATTATCAAACCCATTTTCTTTTCACACCCATAATATTCAAGTCATGGAGTTTTGAACGAAATCTTTTAATTCATATTTAAAAAATTGTATGACTTGGGAGAAATTATTCTGTGCGGAGACCGAATTGAGAGAACGGTCCGAATTTGTTGTGTTTTAGTTGTCATTTTGCTGCGCTTTTGCAAATATTCAGCAAAGGACAGCAAAAGTGCAAATATGCATTCATAAATGTACTTTTGATGAGTACTTGCTAAAGCGCACCAAAAAAGCAGCTAAAGAGTAGCAAATATCCTAATAATTGCACTTTTGCTGCGCTTTAGCAAATACTCAGCAAAAGTGCAATTATGAATGCATATTTGCCGACTTTCTACTGAGTATTCGAAAAAGCGTGGAAAAGGAGAAATTAAAGCGCAGCAAATTCAAATGGTTCTCTCCGTTCAATCTCCGCACATAATAATTTTTCATGACTTAGGAGCTATTGTTCTAAATATGCACAGAAGCCGAACTCCCTATTAGTACGGTGTGAAGGATCAATTAGGCCAAGGAGAGTTGTGTCCTTTCAGATTTATGCCCTTTAATTGTCAATATTTAGTTTTTTGGACTATATTTAGATTCATCGACGCCACATATAAAAGAGCAAATAAAAAAGGACATACATTACAAACAAATAAGTCGGCCATTTTAACTTGTTTTTAAATGAATTCGTCAAAAATGGCGGATCCAGCTTATTCACACGCAACAAAAATTTGTTGCAAACAGTGGAAGATCCGACTTTTTTTTTTTTTGGGTAAAATTTTAATTATTAATAATAATAATAATAGTAATAATAAATAACAAATAATAATAATAAAATAATAAAATCAAATACTAATAACAATAAAAAAAATTAATCAACATTATACTATTAAATTTATAAGAGAAAACTTTTATCACTTATCTTCCATTTACTTATTTAGCTTCAAATTTGTATACAAATTACATATTTATCTTCAAATTAGATTGATGGTCAAAGACCACGCCAGGTCCGCAGGGCTAAGAGTGAACTGCAAGCGACCTCTACTTAAACGTCGAATGCAATCGGGAAGAAGATGGCTGCGAGACGGCGACATCTTGAATATCAAATGCGCGAATCTCGAAAGCGGTTGCGAAGTGTGAACTTGTATGATAAGCAACGACGCTTATGATGATAATATTAGGGAAAAAAGGTTCTTTTGAAGGGGAGGGGGGTGCAAAATATCAAAATTTCTATTGCTAATGCAATATTTATTTTTTTTTTAGGGTTGGCATTTGAAATGCCCACCTTGACATCAAGGAACTTTTATTACGTCCGGTGTAAGGATGTAGAGGAACGTTCGGTTGGAGTCAAAATCCCGTAAAAAAACTCGGTATTTGCTTGGTACAACTAGGTATTATTTGATATTAACGAGAAATACCGCTCTTTGAAGACCAATACCGAGTTATACCGAGTTGTACCAAGAAATACCGAGTTGTACCGAGTTTTTCTGGGAAAAACTCGGTACAACTTTTGTATAACTCGGTATTTCTCGATTTAGCTCAGTATAACTTGGTATTGGGTCTTCAAATGATGGTATTCATCGTTATTGTTTGGTATTGCTCGGTATTTGCTCGGTACAACTCGTTTTTTGGCGGGATTTGGCCTCCGACTGGACGTTCCTCTGCGTCCGGTCGGAGGACGTAATAATTGTTCTGGGATCAGCCCATGGTTGCAAAGATGAAAAACATGCATGCTAAATATTTTACCATTATTATTATTATTATTATTATTATTGTTGTTGTTGTTGTTGTTGTTTGGGGTGAGGGAGTAAACACCATAATGATGAAACAAGTAAGAAAATAAAAACAAAGAATAAATAAATAAAACACCATGATTTAAGGTAGAAAAGCCCAAAATAGGGAAAAAGTCATGGAGCCACACTACATCATAAAATTCACTATGAAAATGGGTAGAAATAAGTGCTTGTTGCTCTTCTCTCTAGCTCTCTTCTTGCTTCTCTTCTCACATGCCCTGTTCTCTATGTTTAATAATATAGAAATACAAGAGAAAACAGATAACTAAATAACCCTAAGGGACGCAACCCTTCAAAAAAAAAAACATCTGATCCATCTCGCAGTGCTGCGGCACCAGTTTGGGAGTGTCCTCATGAAGCCAACTATAATGATTTCATTGAGGATGTTTTCAAACTAAAAGATAGTCAAATTACCCCCAAATCTTGTTTGAGCATCAACTTGTACTCTTTATGATTGACTTGTAATGACTTTATTCTCTTTAGTGGTTGATTAAATTTTCTTTGGCATATATATTTCTCCATTTTTCCATCTTAAAGAGTATGATGATTTGGTCATCAAACATTTTAATTTTGATCTTCCCATCCTTCATATTTGGATTTGAAACCTTTTTAGTCCAAGCTCTAATACTAAAGAGGAGAAAAATAATAATGAACAAAAAACATCAAAGCATAAAATCAAACCAACAAAAAGAAATTAATCCTAAACATAAATAAACATATTTAATTTAGTGAGAACCATCAATATTTATGGCCACATATAAACTGAATTATCTATTCAGTTTTAAAAGGGGTATATTTAGATATTAAACTTTATAGAAAATTAGATATACGAATAGGGAGGTAACTGTGTGTATGTTAGAACATAGGAACTAAGAGAGAAGATGGCTACATGCTATGAAGTTGTGGTTTAGAAGTAGATTGTTGTTACTGATATATGTGATTTAAAATAAAATAGCTTTAATTAAATTTATTATTTAGTTAAGTAATTTACTTAATGAATTTACTCTTTATGTTTTATCATATATTTATTTATTACCAAATTTTATTTTGGCTTTAGGTTCTTGATTATTATTTATACTAATGTTGACATCCTAACTCAAAACCAATTCTTTCTATTTTACTGCCTAAGTGGAGCGGGAGTGAAAAGGGTGGGGTTTTCTATTCTTTGGTGTTCGGGTGTGTGAGAGAAAGGTTTGCAAGGACGGATACTAGGGCTTGTGCTGGGTTTCTTGTGTGAAAGAGAATGAATAAAGAGTTGAAATCGGTGGATTTCTGAGTGTGTGGAGAAGGTGAACCCTTCTTGTTTCTCTCATGTGTGTTCTTCTTTTATGAGAAAGACAATCATACGTGATTGTAGGTTGGAAATCGGATTTATGCCGTATGAGCTTGTTCCTTTGCAATATTATGTTATATGCTGAAATGCAGGTATATTTGTCCTATTTAGATTAGGAAGATTGGAGGTTGATGCTCTCGGTTTGTGGGTTTCGTTCCCTAGTTCACCAGATTTAGCTTGTCTATTTTTTGTTCTTGTTGTTCTTAATTTAAAGATCTATTTTAGATCTTGTTTGTGGAGTTATTTGAGGCCATTAGTATCAATTTCTTTCGACTATTTTAGTTCTTGAGGCTATTAGTGAAAATTTGTTATTATGTTTTAGTAGTTGGGTTATTTACTGCTATAAACATTCATTAATTTTGGTTCAGCAGATTGTAGTCTATTATTTTTTTGCTATTTAGAAAAGCTAGAAGCAATTTTTTGTATATAGAAGTTTTGTATCATATTTTTTCCAAACATATTTAAATAAACAATAATGAACGAGGTTGCCCTATGGATGTAGATTTTGTAAGAACTCAAATCATGTAAATTATTTGTGTTCTTGTTGTTTCATTTTCTTTACAAGTGTTATTTGAAATGTTTCTTTGGGATTAAAATTTGTAAAAGCTCAATTTACAAACAAGTCTTTGAAACTACTATCAAACTGAAAGTTCAGAAATGTTGGGTGGTTGAATTTATTTTCTTCCAAACACAATAGTTACTCTTTTTTACCCTAGCTCCATTGTAGGAGTTCAAATTAAGAAGAGGAGAACAAGAGAAGGAAGAACAGGAAGTAGTTCTTGCAAGTTGTAGAGAAGAGAAGAGAAGGAGAACCATAATCAATATTTTTCTCTCCACATTCAACCCCCTCATCTTAAATCCAAGTGGTTGTGTTCTTTCTTAGTATTTAACATGGAAAAAGTGGTGTTCTTTTATCTTATGAAGTTTAGTTTCTCTCAATATATCTACCCTTTTTGAAGCTTAGTGAATATTTGATTTATATCTGATTGTGGACGTATGTGTGTTTAATTGAACCATGTAAACTTATTGTCTTGTGTTTGAGATTTTTGATATGATTATTTTCTTATCCTCATTAATCAACAATTTATAAGTATTCTCATAATTTTGCCCATAATGTTGCCCAAAATTTTCAAACACTCAACAAAATGATCTATATTGACATATTGTTTATAAAAGATTGTGAAGATTGATAATATATACTTGAATATTCTATCTATGTTGTGGTACTAATTGTACGATATAGTTAACCCCAACTCAATTGCATGATGAGTATTTGAATGCTATGATTGAATCCATCAACTTTTGAAACTAACACATCTAATTATTGTTAGATTCAGGTTTTATTTAGGATAGCTTTCTTATTGTTTTATAAAATAGTCTTCAATACATTTTTTTTAATTAAATTTTTTTGTACTAAAAGATTATTTTATAAAGAAATAAAAAAATTATACCAAAACATATATCAATCCCAACAATTCCAGATACATCTCACAATGGGATGAGATTATCTACAGTGTTTTTTTTTTAATAAAAAACAATTTTTATTAAGAAAAAAGGACAGTACAAGCACAGACCGAAAACCAAAAAACAACAATGAAAGAAAACATAAGCTAAAGCAACAAAGAGATTATAAGCCAAATGCCAAAAGCAGACTCTGAGTGGTAGCCCCCCGCAACGACCCCATAGCCACCAAGGGCCATACATTGGAGACAAAAATCTGTAGAAACCACCATCAGCCTAGGTATCCAACAAGCAGAAAGAAGACC